CGCGCGCGCGCGCGATCGTCCTAATCACCATTGCCACTTCCCAAGGTCGTTTAGACGAGACGTGAGATCAAGACACCCATCCGCCCAGCCACCGATATTCATCAAGATAAAGACACCCCCCCCTCCCTCGCATCTCATCATCCCGCCACCCATCCATCGTTCTATAATCCACGTGTGAAAATTTCCACCATCACCCACCCACCCATGCATTTTCTTCCCTTCTTCCCTTTTCAGGACTTCCATACCTTGTAAATGTTGGAATGGCGTATTTTCTTGACACAGGCATCACAAGCCTTGTGACCACAAGGATAGAAATACGTGTCCGGCGCCCCTTCCTCTCCCAAACAGATATTACACTGATTCTCCTCATCATTCGGATCCAGCGAACTCGACCCAGCCCCGTCGGCATCTGCCGCACCTCTGTTAGCTGTCATCATACTTGCTGCTGTTATCGTCAACGATGCCTTCTCGCTCCCACTCCCCGGCGCTCTCCATGCACACGTGGTCGCCATCCCTTCGTTCGTACCCCCAATCAATCAATCAATCAATCGATCGATCAGATAGATCCTCCACCTTCGACCTTATAACTGTCCCCAGTATTCCCGTCCCGACAGTCCTCCTACAGTCCTTGGCCAATCACTCAATCAATTAATCAATCAATCAATCAATCAATCAATCAATCGATCGATCGATCGATCGATCAGATAGATCCTCCGCCTTCGACACTGTAACTCTGTCCCCAGTATACCCGTCCCGACAGACCCGCTACGGTCCTCGGGCTAAACAAAAAACGCAAATCAATATGAATAAATTGTTCCAAGTCCCCTAATGAGTGTCCCAAAACAATGGTTCCCGGTCCTAATGAATGGTTCCAGGTCACCAAAAGAGTTCCAGGTCCTTATGAATGGTTCCAGGTCCCCAACAGGTTCCAGGTCCTGACGAGTAGTTCCAGGTCCCCAAAGGTTCCAGATTCTAGTGAATGGTTCCAGGTAATGAACGGTTCCAGATATTACCCCGCCAAAGACCAGCGTCGTGGTCCCAAAAAGAAAGTCCCAGAAAGGAAAGTCCACAAAAAGATGTCCCAAAAAAACGGAAATGCCCAAGTCCCAAGAACAGAGAAGTCCCCGGTGCCAAGTCTCGAGTCTCAAGAGTCCCAAGAGTCCCAAGAGTCCCAAAATAAAGTCCCCAGTCCTAATGAATGAATGACTGTATTTCCACGTCACAGAGGTATTTCCCTCAGTGAGAGATCAGATCCTCCAATCCAAAGAAAAAGGGGGAAAAAAAAGATCCTCCGATCCGATTGCGACCTACAAATTACAACTCTATCCCAACGAGATACGGGGGCCGGAGTCCCGACAGGTGTCCACAAAAAGAAAGTCGTGGGCCCAAACCAATAGTCCAAAGTCCCAAGTCCCAATGCGAAGGAAGGGTAATCACCTACCACGAAGGTCTTCCACTCAATCCACTCAATCAATCAGATCCTCCACTTCACACTCCAGGACTAAGGTAAGCTCGTGGGCCCAAAACAATGAAGTCCCAAGTCCCAATGCGAAGGAAGGTAAGCTCGATGGAGCCTTTCCCCTTGAAGAGGGTCCCGCCGACGAGAGACCCAGGAATGTCGCGGGACCAATAGAGACAGTCCGTCGCGGGACCAATAGAGACAGTCCCAAATCCTAATCACAGTTCTCTTACCCCACAAAGGTCTTTCCCTCAATTGCTACACTACACTCACTAGATAGAATTCCCCGTTTTGCCCTTGGCTTTAATTGGCTCAACTTCTTTTCTTTAGGAGTAATTTTAATTTTTATTCTTCCTTTTTTTTAAATTCGCCGACTGCAACAGTTTCAAACTACGCGCGCCAATTTTGTGGCCTTGGAAAAATCATACATACCGCCGACTGCAACAGTTGCAAAAATAGACCCGGACTTAATGTGAACCACCAGGACCGTCTTCTGAACCAACCCGAACGTATTCTGAACCAATGAAGATGGAGATCACGGACTTTCTCTGAACCACAGGACAATAGTCAGCGGCACTTGCTGCCGGTCGAATGTGGTCCCCACTGTCGGAACCGTACGGACCTAGCACGCTTTGCCACGTCTGCTTAAGCTCTCTCCTCTATACCTGCCTTTCCCGCCTCGTCCTATCACCACCCCGTTCTTTGATTCCTCGAGATCCTGTGTTCAATTGCAATCTCTCTCTCTCTCTCCTGTCTCTTATACACATCTAGATGTGTATAAGAGACAGGTACAGACGCATCGTTCCCATTGTGTTCAGTTCTT